ATAAGAGGAAGGAGAAACAACTTCACACGTAAGAGATGAGGGATGAAAAAATGAGGCAGCACTTGACCAAGACAGCATGTTTCTGCAGACTGGCAACACATGTACTGAAAAATCTAAAATAAACGAAGTTCACTCTTAAAAACACCAACAGGCAGCTTAGCAGACTGGACAGAATGCTGGTTAGGTGTGAGCAAGGCTTGGATTCAAATCTCGACTCCTACAATTACTAGTGATACTTCCTCTGTGTCTTGGTTTCCTCACCTGTAAAATAGAGCTAATAATACCTGCATGTACCCACCTCTCAGGGTTGCTGTGAGGATCAAATGAGATGACGAGGTAAAATACACTAAAAACTTTAAAGTACTATATTTAAAGTCAAGCAGCAGTTATTAAGTGCCTATTATGTGCTACAGTACCGTGCTGTGTTCAAAGTATTGTCAGTGGTTATCATTAACGGAAAGTAGTAAAGGAGTAAAGAGATTTGGGTTCTGGTCTCAGCTTTACTAACTTAGTGTGACTTTAAATATGCCACTTTACTTCAGTCTTAGGCCTTGATTTCCTTTTCATCAAAATTACATAAAAATGCCTGCCTTATTACAGGGAAACAGGCACTCTAATACACTGCTGTTAAAACTGTAAGAGTGGTACAAGTATTTTGGAGAAAAAATGACAAGAGAGTCACAAAAGTCATCATTCTTTTCACCTCAGTGATTCCACTGGTAGAATTTTATTCTAAAAATATTTAAAAGGGGGGGGGGAAGCTATCAACACAAAAATATTTATAGCTGTTTTATTTGTAATAGCAATAAATTATAAATAACCTATATATCCAATGACTACAAAATAGCTGAATAAAATATTCATTACACTGTATTAAGGTAATAGGATATTATGGTACCATAAAAAAACCAAATATGGAGCAGAGAAATAAATACCTAAGCAAAGTAATATAAAATAAAATCAACAGAAGCATAATAAAAACATTAACATATATGTAAACCTATGAAAATACAGCCAAAAATAGTAGAATTTCGTGCTAAATTGACAAAGACATAAATATATTTAATTCATTTGATTCTGTTTAGTTAAATACTAAGGATTTATGAAAGACTTTACTCCATCCACCCTTTACATGTTAATTTGTCACTGTTAATAGTTAAGTGTTTAATTTTTAAAATAATTGCCCTGCTTTTACTTCACAGGTTTCTGGACACCAAAATAATGGTGTATGGAAAAGCTCAAGTGCTATACTAATATTAGGAGAGCAGATAGTGAGCTCCAGATGAGGAAACCACCTCTACACCAACACAGGTCAGCACCTTCTTTGCAACTTTAATCTTAGGGAATTGCCTGGAAGCACTGAGAAACAAAGAGACTTGCCACATTTGTACAACAGGGCCAGTAAGATCTGAGATGGCACTTGAACCCAGATCTTCTTGGCTTCAACACTGGATCTTTTTCCATTACAGTACATTATCTTTCATAAGGGAATAAATACACTATTGGATGGTAAATGCAACATTCTGGTAATGATACACTCATATATACTCCTTGTTTGCAGATTATTTTTAATAATTTTAGGGACAAAAAAAATACATTTAACAGTAAAACCGAACATAGCTGTTTTTGAGGATTCTGAATGCATTTTGGAGCAGTTAGGTGGTACGGTAGACAGAATGGAGGGCCCGGAGTCAGAACAACTCATCTACCTGAGTTCAAATCTGGCCCCGGACACTTACCAGCTCTGTGACCTTGGACAACACAATTTACCCTGTATGCCTCAGTTCCTCATCTGTAAAAATGAGCTGAAGAAGGAAATGGCAAACCATTCCATTATCTTTGCCAAGAAAACCTAAATGGAGCCACAAAGAGTCAGACCCAACTTAAACAACTAAACAAAAGGCATTTGAGGATCTCACAATCCCTAAAGTCATGCAATTTAAGCATAGATTATTATCTAGTACAAATGCCTCATTTTATAAATGAGGGAAATGAGGTCCAGGGAGAATAAATTACTTGCCCCAAATCACACAGGTAATGAGTAATAGAGCCAGGATTCTAACCCATGTCCAAATTCTGTGCTCTTTCCACTATACCATGCTGCTTTCTGTATGTTATCATTATGAACAGACACCATTATTATACTGGCAAAGCCTGGAAGTGCTGGCTAATAGAGATTTCTAATTGACAACATATCAGAAAATCCAACTTTTATTGTGTCTATAAATATATAAATGGTATTAAGAGGTGGGTGAGAGAATCTCTTTCCAATTTAGTTAATAGCCTTCCTTACATTTATACAGCCTTTACGGTTTAGCTGGCTAATAAGTCTTTGAGCCGAAAGAGTTTTAAACCAATTACCCAACTGTCCTTGATATAGATATTAAAAGCTATATATTTCACATTTCAATATAGCCAGTTCCTGTCACTCATGCTCATGCTGACTGGAAGATTACAAGAACAAGAAACAGGAAGCAAACTAAATGGAAATACACAGGAAATCAAGAGAAAGTATTTTTTAAAATCCTATAGTTATCAAATTTACTTAAATACTTTTAAAACTGCTAAAGTGCCTCCAGTTTTGGTGGCTTTCTCCCTTAGGAGATACTCCAAAGAAATAGTAATGGGATAAATAACTAATGACTGACTGCCTTTCATATTCTTAATAGGCTAAACTAGCCTTTGATACTATCACTCACTTCTCCTTGATACTCTCTAAGTCCATGTCACTATCCTATCCTGGTCCTCTTCCTACCTGTCTGGCCAAATCTTCTATTTCCTTTGCTGGATCTTTGTCTAGGTCAAGTCTGCTAATGCCAGGGGCCCCACAGGGCTCTTTCCTGAGTCCTCTGCTCCTGTCCTTCTATATGATATTACTGAGTGATCTCATCAGCACCCATATATTAAATTTTCATCTCTATACTGATGATTCTCAAAGCTACTTATACAGCTCTAACTTCTCTGCTAACATCCAGAATGGCATCTTCAACTACCTATTGGACATCTCTAACTGGATACCCTACATACATCTTAAACTCAACAGGTGCAAAAGTGAGTTCATTATTTCCCCCCCCAAAATTCCCTCTCTCCAACTTCCTACTTCCCTTATCACTGTGAGAGAATCACCACACACCCAGGCTCAGAACCTACTTGTCATTCTTAACTCCTCACTTTTTCTCACTTCCTATGCCCAATCTTGCTGCTAAGGCCCACCAATTTCACCTCTGCAACATCTCTCAAACGTGCCCCCTTCCCTCCTCTGACACTGCCACCACTCTGATGCAGGTCCTCATCCCCTTACACCGGAACCTGAACCACTACAATATTCTCTTGGTGGGTCTCCTGCCTCAAGTCTCTTCCTGAGCTTCAGTCCATCCTCTCTTCAGCTGTCAAACTGATCTTCCTAAAGCTCAGTTCGGACCATATTCCAAACCTACCCCCCACTCCAGTGGCTCCCTACAACCTCCAGGATTAAATATAAAATCCTGTTTGTGTCATTCATAACCTGGTACCTCCTACTTTTCCAGTCTTCTTCTATGTTTCTCTTACCTCCTCACCACCCCACCCCTTGTCCCTCATACTCTCTAATACAGTGACACTGGCCTCCTCGACTTTCCTCACACAAGACCCCACCATCTCCCTATTCTTCGAACTTTCATTTCACTCTAGGCCTGGAATCCTTCCCCTCACCATCTCTGCTTCCTGTTTTCTTCAAGTTCTAGATAAAAGCCCACCTTCTACAAGCAGCCTTTCCTGATTTCCCTCAATATGAGTGCCTTCCCTCTGTTAATTATCTCTAATTTAGCTTACTTTTTTTTTGTGTGCAAGACTGTTTTCATGTTGTCTCCTTCATTAGAAGATGAGCTCCTAAAAACAGGGACTGTCGTGCTTTCCATTTGTATCCCTAGCACTTAGAACAATGCTTTTCACATAGTAAGCACTTAATAAATGCCTCATTCATTCATTAAAAGAAAGAACATAGTTAGAATACCATCTCCCTTTTATTTTGGCACCCCCCCCCCCCCTTACCTAGCCCTACCAAAAAAAAACAAGAACTCCAAGAATTTCAGAAAAGCATCTCCTGGGAACAAATGGCTTGCTGTCTTCTACAGGGAGCCACTCACTACTCTAAGGTGCCAAGATTTCGCCACAGATGTAATCCAGGGCATAGATTCACTTTCCTAGGTTTCCTACAACTAGGTCTGACCAGAACTCAAAAGGGATTATGTAAGTACTTCAGATTTCATTAACTTGGAACTCAAAGTTCTAAATGTCATTTAAGGGAAAGGAAGGGTAAATTTGGGGTGAACTGGTACTCTTAATCTTAGAAATAAACCTCACCTGCAGAGTAACTACAAAGAAAACCCCTTCCAATGTTTCTGTTCCCTTATGACAAAGACTTATAAATACTTAGGAAGCATTTCAACTTGTGTCATTAACAAGAGCACATTTAACTAGAAAGTTGAATTAAGGGACCAAGGAAAAAAAAAAAGTTTTCTTTGCAATGAAATTTGGGAATTAAGATGAAGGAGAAACTAATTCTTACAATAAAATGGCTGTAGTTGGATCTGTTCCATGGATCCTATTTTCTAAACCTTCAAGTTCACAAACCAAGATGAAGGCTAATTAATAAATGACTTTCACAAATAAAGAGCTATTCCTTTTCCTGGCTTCTGTGCAAACTCCATTTTAGCATTGTTTGAACTTGGATTTATGGTAAAACGGGACTCAAGGTAATGTAAGTTTTGTTTTTCTTGACCTACACATTCAGCTCTATTTCCTGAACTAGATATAACATCAGATACCAATAACACAGCTTCCAATTGATGAAGTTGGTACTTATTTCTCCAAAGGAGGATCAATGGAATCCTAATTGATCACATCAATGTTCTCCAAAGCAAACAATAACAGGAAGGCCCTACTATGTTCCTGAGTGCTCCAGTTAAGAGCAATATGAATATTTAAAATAGGCTATCTATCCATAGAAACAAAGTAAGTACCTCTGAAGTATATGAACTGTGTGTGTCTTTGGGTAGGTATATGCAGGGAGGCAGCAGAAGGGCATATAGTACAAGGCACCCTGAAATAAAGAAAGAAATGGTTAATACAAAGTCAACAGTCTGAAGAAACATTTTTCATTTCAAGAAGCAGGAACTACCTTTCCAGGAGTGACATGAGGAAAAGAAGCTCTTTTCCATTCTACTTGGGAACAAAATGATGATACTGACAGAATCAGACTGGGTCTGCCTGTGCTGCAAGACTCGGAAGCCAGCTTCCCACTGAGCAAGCACATCCTAATGCATTGCACACTCTGCCCTGGATTACTGAGCATTCAGATGGCTCTGCCCAAGAGGAAAAAGGGAAAAGCTCTGGCCCAAACTGAGGCAAGTCCCTGAGGAAAACAACCTGCTATCCACAGAGCTTTGGTACCAATCTGTCTGCAATCCACTTTCCAAACAGTGATGATGAACACATGCATCCCTCTGCTGAGAGAGCAGGTCAGTCAAGAAAGCTAATGGCACAGCATCCTGTCTTTATTACATATAGGGAGGGGCCTTCTAGACCCTTTCAATTGATTCTGTATAGATATTTATATATAAGCATGTATAAATGTATGCATTATACACACGTGTATACATGTATGTAGATGTGTATATGCACATATGTGTGTATGTATATACACATGTGTGTATCTATATCTCCCCTTCCTCATCTGTAAAATGAGGATATGAATAGCACCTACTTCCCAGGATTGTTGTTAGAATCAAATGAAATCATTGTAAAGCCTTTAGCACAGTGCCTGGCACATAGTAGGAGCTCTATCAATGTTAGCTATTATTATTATTACTGTTATATAATCTTCCTTCCCTACCTCTGGCCTACCGCTTCTTCTCTTAACATCTCCACCTCACAATCCCCTCCCTCCCAACCCCCCCATCCTTTTTTTTCCTATCAAGGGCTCTTTCTCCCTAATCACTCACTCTCTCATCATGATCTGTATGGGTTCTCTCTGGGCCTCAGTTTCCTCATCTATAAATAAGAGAACAGGTTTCCGTGCCCTCTCTGAATGCTTGAAGAGCCTTCCCTTCTCCTCCCCCCTTCCCATCTCTTCCCCCCCTCCTCCCTCCTGCATCCTATCCCCCCCCCACCAGACTCATCCCTCCTTCCATCCCCCGCCCCCAAGGATGCCCCAAACCAGGATGCCCCAAACCAGGATGCCCCTGCCCCTGCCCCCATGGGTGCAGAGCTGAGCAGCCCATTCGCCTCTCACCCTGGGGACCCCCACGGCCCCCTCGTGACCCTGGGGGTCCTCAAAGCCCCTTTCCCTACGCCCTCTCTCCCCTGGCCCTCTCCGCTCGTCCGCAGCCCCCCAGCTCTCGCCCCGTCACTACGGGCTGGCTTCCTTCCCGTGACTCACCCGCGGGGCCCTGGCAGCTTACGGCCGCGGCTCCCCCCGGGGGCTAGGCCCCCCGGGCCTCCAGGCTCTGGCCCGCCCAGCCGGCAGGCAGGCAGCGCTGACGGCTGAGCCCCGACAGCGGCGGCCCTTCTGCGGCCGCTCCGTACCCGCTCCCGGCTCGGCTCAGACTGGGTACGAATCAACAACAAGATGGCGGCCAGCCGAGGGGGCGGGGGCCTGGCGTCATAGCAACCATACCGGCAAGGAATACGCCCCTCACCGGGACTGGTTCCCCAATCACAAGCCACTTCGCCCACCGATTGGGGTCAGCGCCCCCTGCTGACAGGTCGCGCGGCCCGTCAGTCCAAATCCTCCTGCATCCCCAACGCCTACTCAGGTCCGCAACGCCAAGGGCACGTGACTATGACGGGCCTCTGCGCCTGGGCCGCGCGCTCCTAATTCGTGGGCTGCGCTAGCTCCCGGGCTGTGCGCGCGACGGCTGCTAGGTCACGGGCTTGACTGCGGTGCCGCAGGCCTGGCTGGGCCCAGCCCTGCCCTCAGTGAGGCGCCCGAAGCCTTAAGGCCCTGTTGCGGTCCCGAGGGCGCCCTAGCAGGCGCATAGCCCGTGGTGTTTCCCTGTTGATTTTTCATCCTGACGCGGTGGACAGGACCATTCTGTAGCCCCATCAATGCCTCTTGTCACCTCCCATCCTACCCATTCCCCAGTGGGTAAACAGGGTACCATGGTGGCCGGGGAAGGGGGCGATGGCTGCCCCTTCGAGAAGGGCATGTTAAAATCCTCGCTTGCAGATGAGGAAGCTGTTATCTCCTGGCCCAAATAGGTTCTGAACTGTGTAGGTGGTGAAATAAGTCCAGTGGCCCAAGCAGGTGTAGACCTGGGCAGGACTGCCCTCCTAAGTGACTGATGACACCCCCTGAGGACAGTGACTAGCTTCCCCACAAGGGAAGTCACCTGTTGGTACCCACCTGCCCACACCTGCAGTCAGCTGGATCTTGGGGTTTCAAAAAAAAGTTGGGTTTTTTGAGAAGATGGGGAATAACATCTCCCTGAAAGAGTGCACTGGACTCTAGTCAGAACACCTTGGTTCGAATTTTGGCTGTGCCACTTAACCTTTGTGACCTTGGTCAAATTAGGCACACCCCATCCCACCCCCTATTTCAAGGGCTCAGTTTCATCAGCCCCAAAATGTAGGTAGGTGGTCAGCCCAGAAACTGCAGATATACAGTAAACTGAGCTCAAAACAATTGGGGAAAGAGATCCAGCTCGGTTGTATTTGGGAAATGACATAGTGCTTACCAGCTTTTAAAAAAAAATCTTTTTTAAGGTTACAATTCTTCCATTGATGCTATATGGCTTTGAATCAGGGTCCCTCAGCTGGTATTTATTAGATTTGAACACATCTCCCTGGCTTCAAGGGTTTCATGCTTTCTACTATTGCCACCCTGACTCTGACCACAGTCTCTGAAGAATCAAAATTTTGTGTGACTCAAAAGGCAGTAGAGGCCAATCTGGTTGATTTTATCTTTACTGAAGATTTTATCAAGGATAACCTGCACGTGAGGAGTGATGGAGTCAAGTCATACAGCACGAGTCAGTGATGACAGATGGCTAGCCCAACGCTAGCACTACGACTCTCCCGGTGGTAGAAAACATTCTGAATGTTAGAGGCATCCACTCCATTGAGTGGAGGATTTATAGAACAACACAAATGAGGGCTGCAGAGGATGAGAAAGTATGGATGGCTTATGTGCTGCACCTTTGCCGGGGCCTACATAAATGACATTTCAGATTCATGGAGCATTAATGTTGTTTTCCTCCTGTGTAAAGCAACCTGCTTAACATTTTTATCAGCTGCCATGGAGACCTGTTCTGACACATTTTATCTGGCTCATCTTCATAGAGATCAGTCAGGAGTGGCGAATACAGGTCCTAAAAGAATAAATGTTCCCCTCATAGAAGCCAGTTGCATTTTTCACTTGGCAACTTCTTCCACAGCCTGAAGGACTATAAAATGGGGCCATCTCAGGTCAGAGGAATAAGGAAATTCCGTGGCTCTGGGCCCTCTAGTTCCCTGAAGTTCAGACCCATGAGCCATTATTATTAACAATGCAGCAAAGTCCAAATGGACTCAGTGATCAGGCAGCACAGACCGAATGGCATCAGAAAGAGAATGGGCCTTCCATAAGGAATTTGAACATCATATTAGGTTCAGTTATTGCTGTGATAACTATAGTAGTGTTGACTAATGAGGCTTGTTAGGGCTTTAAAAAAAGAATTTGGCCCAGGGATTGGGCTCCTACATTAAACCATGACCTTGGGTATTACCCATGCTATTGCCAAGGGATTCCAGGAATCCTGAGAAGTTGAAACAGCTGTGACTAACCAACATACTAAAGGTCACAGCCTTCATGACATGCTTAGCTTCACCCAATCAGTGTATCGAAAGAACTTCAAACCTTTTCTGATATCACTGGAATCCTTTCTGGATCCCCGGTATCCAAAAAATGATGACTAAACCCAAGTAGTACTTCTAAGCTACCTGCAAACAACTAGGCCTGTAATCAGGCAGGGACAACCTCCCTGCAGGCCCATGCAGGATGACAGGGAGTTACAGAGTTGCACTGAAGAAAACTGGAGTTTTAAGCATTCACACCCAAATGCCCAAGGGGAGAAATGCTAGATATAACTAATCAGCTAGGATGAAATGGACTCCACCTCAATTTTTTTTGGTGATGTAATGAGGAAGCTCCTCAGGATACCAGACCACTAGGCAAAGCTTCCAGGACTACTAGGCCCCTTTTGCTTCCTTTCCCCTGGGAAAGGTCCAGTTTACTCCATATGACATGAAGCAAATAAATGCTCAATTACCCTACTAAGCAGGGTTCCCCAATTTTGGTTAGAATTCAGACTCTCTTGCACATAATTTAAATAACATTTAAGGCCCTCTACAGTCTGGAGGCAACCTACCTTCTAGTCAATAAGCATTTATTAGACTGTGAACTCCTCCATCAAATTTTCTAGCTTCTTGAGGGCAAAGATTCTCTGACCGCTTTTTCATTTTATATCCTTAGCATTAAACACAGAGCCTGGAACAGAGGTTCTTAAATGCCTGCATAAAATAGGTATTTAATAAATGCTTATTGACTGGTTGATCTTTCAATCAATTAATCAATCAATAAACCGTTATCAAGCTTCTGATGTGCCAAGCACTGTGCTAAGCATGGGAATACAAAGAGGCAAAAGATACTCGAGGTTCAGCTTACAATCTAGTGGGAGAGACAAAATGCAAATAAATACATACAAAGCAAGCTACATACAGGATACATAGGCAATAATTGATAGAAGACACTAGAATTAAGAGCAGTTGAGAAAGCCTTCCTACTTTCCAGCCTTATTTCACATTACTCATTTTCACAAGCTAAACTGTACTCAAGCTAAACTGAACTACTTACTCTTCCTCAATCTTGTCCTGCCCTCTTTCACATCTGGATATTCTTCCCTGCATGGAATGCACCATTTTTTCTTGTCTTCACCTGTTGAGATCTTTTTCCCTCAAGGACTAGCTTAGGTGCCAACTCCTCCACCAAGCCTTCCCTGATTGTGTCAGCTGAAAGTGGTTCTATCCTCAAATTTTCCTAGAGAACTTTATCTGGATCTCTCTCCTTTGCCTCTTTGTCAATCAGCTTTGCTTTACATATCTGTAAATGTCCTGTCCCCTCCTCCATTAGACTGTAAGGACATTGAAGGCAGTGACTTTTGTATTTCTTCTTCATATTTCCAGTGCCTAGCATACAATAGGTACATAATTAATATTTGTTGAATGTGACACACGAGCTAGTTGATGATTGGGATACAATAAAAGAAATAGGGGCAAAACAAGTGGTTGGAAATTGATCCCTTTCCTACTTCTCAAGAATGAGAAGCAGACTGCAAAGGGAAAATTTAGGCATACCCAGCTCATTAATAAAGATAGTAACAGTTTATACTCATTTATCATCAATCATCATGGAGCTCAAAGCACTTAATAATTTTTTAAAAGAAAAAAATCCTTATTAATCCTTCCACAACATGCCTGGAAGGTAAGGTGAGGGCAAGCTATTATAGCATTCTGCATTTTGTAACATAGCTGCTATTATAGCAGTAAGGTGGCACAGCTGATAAGAGTGTTGGACCTGGAGTTGGGAAAAACTGAGTTCAAATACAGCCTGAGACACTTTCTAGTTGTGTGAGGCCCTGGGCAAGTCACTTAACCTCTTTCTGGGTCAGTTTCCCCATCTATAAAGTGGAGATAATAACTCCCAGGGTTGTTGTGAGGTAAAATGAGATAATATTTATAAAATACTTTGCAAACCTTAAAGCACTATATAAATACTAAATATTTTTATTATTATTAAGAAAAAGAAATGAGATGGTAATAACTGAAGCCTACCTGGAGAAAAGACCCAGGTTTCCTGCTTCTTCTACTACTAATGTCTTCACTAGATGGTGAGGGCTCCTGAAGCTGCTTCTCCTAAGGTGGGACAGCATCCTCCAGGGAACTGTAATATTCTCTCAAGTTCAGGATGTCAAGAAATGTTACTGATGGCATGTGATAGCACAGGGAGTCTGGCCGAGGGAGCCTTCCTTTTTCTAAAGGGCCAAGGTGGGAGTGATGGCACTTGTTCCAAAATGGAAGCAACAAAATCATGAACTATTGTACCCGATAACTCTTACATGCTTTTAACAATTTTAACAAGTGTGGAAGAAAAGGGAAGAACAGTAAGAAAGGGACTGAGGCCTCTTTGGGCCCTCAACAAAACACTTAAAAAATCACTGCCTGCCAGGCCACTGGGAGGACTTCCATTTATTACAGGGTGATCTGATCCTACTGCTTTTTTGTTTCTTTAAGAGTTATTTTATTGACATTTAATCTCACATTAGGGTAAAATAACACCTTTATTTTCTAAAATCATTCTGATAGTGAAACACAAACTGGAAGTTAGGGTCTTGGGTGGTAGGAGAAGGGGAAGGGAGGGGCTGGGGGGAAGTAAGGAGTCATTAGGGTATGACACCAGCAAAGAAATGAGTCAG